TTATGGAGATTGATTTTGGAATTTAGATGCACTCTTATTGATTGTGCTTGGCCGTACAAGTTCATATCCTTGAAGATGTATCATGGGGGTGTTGCAACCTAGAAGACACAAATTTGACTAACAAGTTATAAGTACATGAGTCAAAAATTATGGAAAAGTAAAAGAAAAGATTCTTTCATTGTTTTACAAACCCTCCCCCAGGTCCCCTCCACCATGTAGCCCTCGCTCTAGACTCCTGTGATGACAGAAATACCTAGTTATATATCTCTTTTAAACAGTTTTCTCCCTCCTCTGTTTCAGTGCAGTATACATTATTGAACCCATCTTACTCAGTCTCTCCCCAACCCCAAGGACAGTCCCATTCTACAACAGTGGCATCATGTAATATTTGTCCTTTTGTGACTGGGATATTTCACTCAGCATAATGTTCTCCAGAGTCAACCATTTTGAATAATATTGCATGAGTTCCTTGTTTTTTAGTGCAGCATAGTATTCCATTGTGCGAATATACCACAGCTTCTCTAGCCATTCGTTTGTTGATGGGCACTTAGGTTGTTTCCAACTCCTTGCTATTGTGAACAAAGCTGCAATAAACATGGGTGTGCATATATCTGCTTGGATGTCAGCTATGGTCTCTTCACGGTATATTCCCAGTAGTGGAATTGCGGGGTCAAATGGTATCTCTATTTGCAACTTTTTGAGAAAGCGCCATACTGCTTTCCACAGGGGTTGCACCATTTTACACTCCCACCAACAGTGAATCAGGGTTCCAGTTTCTCCACAACCTCGCCAGCATTTGTTGCTTGCTGTTCTGTTAAATTTTAATTTTCAGCAATATTTTGCTTGCATATGACAATTTGTTTGACAATGTCCACATTCTGTTGGATCATGTTCTTTGGGAATGTGACTAAATATGGATCTCTTCCAGTCAAGCAGGTGTCCTCCAAATTTCATGCCATAGAATGGTGAGTACATCCAGGGCTGCACCTGTCATTCAAAAAGTATTCATTGTTATCCTAATGATTTTTGAGGCCTTAGCTCCTTAATTAAATATTTCAGTGTCAGCCAATTCTTCACTTAGGTACAGTAACTCTGTATATTCCCTCTACCTTTTCTTTTTTTTTTTTTTTTTATGGTTCCTGGATGATTCAAGATTTTGCCGATGGCATCCCAAGTACTGCAATTCAAGGCCTGATTTTGTTTTTCAGTTCTTTCCATTTAAGAAATGCTTAGTGAGTTCTTCCCTTTTTATTCTCCAATTCTATGTCTCTGCATATTTCTTTATAGTAGTTTGTATAGATTTCCCAGGATGCCTTTTCAAATCTTCTGTTCAGCTTTTTTATTTCAGCATCTTTTCCCTTTGTTTTGGCTTCTCAGTACTCAAATGCAATTTTCAGGGTTTATTCTCACGTCCAATTTGCTTTTTTCTTTCTCTTACCTTTTTAGTGACCTTTTCTTCTCTTCATGGATGAAATCCTTAATGTCATCCCACAACTCATCTGGTCTTTGATCACCGGTGTTTGTCCAATGCTTCTAAACCTATTAAGATGATTTTTTTTTATTCAAGTAATTACTGGAAATAGAATAAAAGAATTTTGAATATTCAAAAATTTATACCTTGCAAATATCTTTTTTTTTAAAAAAAAAAAAGGTGACTTTACATGGACATCACCTGATAGACTGCATAGGAATCAGACAGACTACATTTATGGAAGAAATTTTTAGAGAAGCTAACAGTCCAAATGAGGCTTCATGCTGACTTTGGAACAGACCCTCAATTACTCATGTGGAAGTTCAAACTGTAACTGAAAAAAGTCAAAACAAGTTACAAAGCTTAGTTCTGCCAATTATGGCTGTCTTTCCCAGTCCTCCAACAAACCTGGGCAAAGAGCTTTTAGCTCTGGTTCAGTCCCAACATCCACTACAACTCACATCAGGTCTCTAGTTCTCATCTCCAGCTACTACGGATGCTGCTTCCATAGGCCTTGACCTGGCTGGTGCAAGGATCTCTGGCCCTGAAAGATGCACTGCATTCTCTCAGGGACAAGCTGCATTCTCTTGCTTCTTCTGATAGTGGTGAGATTCTCCAATTTTGCTGCTAGATCTGTTCAATTTTATAGTGAAACTAGCCTACCCCTTGTAGATAAGACTAGCCAAAGCCCTTGTGGATAGACTAACACCCCTTATTTGCATATTTCCACCCATCCACAAGACAAAAATCACCCAATGGCTAGGAAAGGCATTTTAAACAAAACCCTTAACTTTCTATTTATATCAATTTTGGAGCCAAAATGAAAAGCTGAACAAAATTTAAAAACATTCATCTGAAAGCATGTTAATCTTAGGAAGACAGTAAAAACTTGAAAAGCCATGAACTCAGAGAGAAGAGAAGCAAAGAGGTGAGCTAGACATCAAATACACTTTTCTCTCCAGGGTTTTTCTTTCAAGGTACTGCTTCAAAAATAATATACTGTAAAGGAAAATGGGAAAGATCTGACAGTGACCTGAAAAGACAGAGAAATAGTGGGCATAGTTCAGTGGCTATTAATTTTATAAAACTAAATGTATGAGAATGATTGTATGTTAGTGAAGGGAGGTGTGAAACACAATGTATATAAATTAAAAAAAATAGTAGATGTAAGGCTAAGAAACATAATAGAGTTGTGAGCAATCTTATAGGCCTGGGAAAAAAGCACTGGAGTTCCAATTTTCAAGCAACAAAGGTTCTATCTAACACTCCAAGCTTTCCATTAGAAATCTGCAAAGAGTTAGAAGAGTAAGCCTAAAACAAGTAGCACTCAAAATGTAAAAGCCACCTTCCAAACAATTCTATTCTAAACGATAATAAAAACCTTAATTCTGTCTGAAGAAAAAAGGCTCTATGAAAGAAGTGAATATATTTCATCACTTTTTAATACATAAGTTTTAGTACTCAATCAAATAAAAATCTGGTATACAAAAACTATACATAAACAGAATTCAATAAAGCATGAAGAGAAGGTAGAAAAAGACCCACAAAAGATGCACACATAAGGATTAGTTTTAAAATAACCGGAATTATGTTCAAAAACTCACATGATAAGTTGAAGAATTCCAGTAGAGAATTAAAAACTATTTAAAAAAAAAAAAATCAAACAGAAAATCCAGAAGTGAAAATAAAATAAATTACATTAAAATTTCAATTAATTTAACAAAGTATAGTTACTGTTAAAGCCATCAAGTCCACTATGATACTTATCAACCCTTTGAACAACAGATCTGAATCTTACCCTATCTTACAACACCCTCATTATCTCTAATACACTCAAGCTCACTGTTGCAGTCACTGTGTCAAGATTGCTGAAAGGCTTCCATAGATAAAGCTAAAAAGTTAATTAGTAAACTAGAAGGTAGGACAGAGTCACATATCCAAAAGAGGAGGGAACAAAGGATGGGCAATACAGAGGAAAAAACTAAGAAACTTTATTTTTTGGGGAAAAAAAGAAGTCTATTATATAACTTGAGTCACCAAGAGAAAATACAGATTGGGACAGAAATAATATCAGAAGAGTATTTCAGAATTATCAAGAACTAAAAAGATCTACAGCAATAAGTTTAATAATCATTACCAGCATTAAGCAGAATGAAGATAGCAAGAATTTTAAAAAACTACCACATACACAAATAATAACATCATAATAAATCTTTTTTTTTCTTTTTTAAAATTTATTATTAATTTCAATGAAAATTTACAGAGACTTTGGATTTCCATTCATTCATTGTTGTACTTTTCTCCCTGCCCACCCCTCTCCCCGAGTACACTCTTCTCTTTGAAAAGTAAAAGAAAAACTATTGCATTGTTTTACAATCCCTCCCCTCCCAGGTCCACTCCACTATGCAGCCTTCGTTCTGGACTCCTGGCATGACAATAACTACCTAATCACATATCCCTTTTAAACAGTTTTCTCCCTCATTTGTTTCAATGCAGTACACATTATTTATCCCATCTTTCTCAGTCTCTTCCCAACTCCGATGTCAGTCCTGTTTTACAACAGTGGCACTATGCAGTATTTGTCCTTTTGTGACTGAGATATTTCACTCAGCATAATATTTTCCAGGGTCACCCATTTTGTGAAATATTGCATGAGTTTCTTTTTTTCCCAATGCAGTGTAACTATTCCATTGTGTGAATATACCAGAGCTTCTCTATCCATTCATTTGTTGATAGGCACTTAGGTTGTTTCCAACTCCTTGCTATGGTGAACAAAGCCGCGATAAACATGGGTGTGCATATGTCTGCTTGGGTGGCAGTTATGGTCTTTTTGGGGTATATTCCCAGTAGTGGAATTGCTGGGTCAAATGGTATCTCTATTTGCAACTTTTTGAGAAACCATCATACTGCCTTCCACAGTGGTTGCACCATTTTACACTTCCACCAACAGTGAATAAGGGTTCCTTTCAGTTTCTCCAGAACTTCGCCAGCATTGGTTGCTTGCTTTTCTGTTAAATTTTGCTATTCTTACTGAGGTGAGATGGTATCTCATAGTTGTTTTGATTTGCATCTCTCTTAGAGCTAGGGATTTTGAACATTGCTTCATGTGCTTGTTGGCCATCTGAATGTCTTCTTTGGTGAAGTCATAATAAATCTTATAAAAAAACAAAATCAAACTATTTTCAAAGAAGTAAAATTATGGCTGACTTCTCACCAACAGCAGACTATAAAATGCTATCATTAAAGTCCTAAAGAAAAGAAATTTTCACATTTTTTTCTTTTTCTTCTTGTTGTGTACCATAGAATCAGATATGACAGGCACAGGAGATTGCCCCTCCTTCTCCAGCAGAGCATCTGGTAGATTCGAACCTTGTACCTTTGCGTGTGCAGCACAGCTTCTTATCAGTAGGCTACCAGGGATCCCTATAATTTACAAATTTAGCTAAAGAAACATGCCAACTCTCCATTTTTATGAATCCTGATAAACTTGGAAAAGGTAAAGAAAATTAATTGTATTTTTCTACATTACCAGTTTTAACCGTTCTTTTCTCCTCTTGCCAAAGGAGGCACTTGATCCAGGTTCTGAATCTTTTTTTCTATCTTCATCCTCATCGTCATCCTCATCATCCTCAAAACACCAATCTGGCAAGAGAGGTGGGGGTGGTGCTTCCTCTATGTCACCATAACGACGAAAGAGTTCTTTCAAATAATCGCCCTTATAGATTCCTGGTGGTCTGGCTTGGGCAAAAGTAGCAACTGCTGCTTCAATACTGTGGAAAATAACATCACATAATTTCTTCACTAATCTATAATGCTATAAATTTACCAAATATCATCCAATTTATTTACTACTCTCCAATTATGCAGGCTTATCAAAATTTACTTCAAAAAGTCATATAAAATACAACAGAGGCTTCTAAAATTGACAAACTACAGTCCCCATCTTCAAGGCATTCTATCTAGTAAGGGACAAAGTCATAGCAGCTTTAGTATAAGGCTGACAAATAATTCCTAAATCGTAAAGATACATTTCCAGGAGTGTTTAAAGAAACAAAGCGACTTGGGTAGAATCTGTGAATACGGAAGAATTTTAACACAGCCTAGGAGCTTGGGATCTGATATAAAGGAAAGTAGTGGTCAAGGTAATGTAAGTAACAGTGTGAACAAGGTAAAAGCACATTGTTTGAGAGGACTTCAACAGATGAAGACAAAGTAAAATAGGTCATTTAAGAGCAGGTAAGCACTGGCTCATTGTGACATGGGAGCACAAGTAAGAGAGCACCCAAATGGTCAGATCTGGAAATATATACAACAGAGAATCACTGAGGAAATGTGAACAAGAAATGTACAATCAGTGGGTACATCAGCTCATTGAGTGAGCTGTGGAAAGGCTTAGTAAATACAAAGACCTATCTGTCAAGCAATTAATGACAATTGTAAAAGTACAATTCCAGTACTCAAAAACAGCACACTAATTAGTTTAAATGAGGCAACGTTCTTAAAATACTCCCAGAGCATAAGCTTTCCCTGGTATGTAACTGCTGTTTTAAAAAATCTATCATTAACATGGAAAATAAAACTTTCAAAAGTGAATATAAACAAAAAATTCTGGAACGTGTCTCTAGCAATTCTATAAGAAGTGTAAAAAAAAAAAAAAAAACAATTTGGAAAGATAAATCCAGTTTATCAGACCCATGAAGAGCCTGGCAGCACAGTGTGTGATGAGCAGAGCTCCTAACCAGTAGAGTAGAGGTTCAAATCTACCCATCACTCCAGGGAAGAAAGATGAGCTGCCTGCTCCATTCAGATTCACAGCCTTGAAAACCTGATAGGGCAGTTTTAGGTTGCTATGAATTGCAATTGACTTGATGGCACCAAGTTTAAAGTTCTGTTATTTAGTTTTGTTGTTTTCATATGGAACTCTTAAGTATACAGATGATACACTGTGCTAAGTATCAAAAAAGCTGCTTGATGGCACAGCATGACATCTTTAGCTGCTAAGCCAAAGGTCAGTTGTTTAGATTGAACAGCCACTCCAGGAGAAAAAGATGTGGTTTCCTCCCTCATAGATTTGCTCCTTCAAAAACTTGATGACTGCAGGATTAGGCATTATATGTATGACAAAAGCCCAGAATTAAAAGAGGTAAATCATTGCAAAGAGGTCCAGGATCAGCAGGGGGAGGGGGTGGAGTAGAGTACGTAAATGTGCAATAATGAATACTTTTTTAAAAAAGGTGAGCTGGGTGAGGGGGAAGGGAGGGCATGTGGGTAAAATCTGCAACAATGAATGGCTGAAAACCTAACTTCTCTGTAATTATTCATTAAAATCACAATTAAAATAAAAATTTCACTTAAAAAGTGATGAAGGAAATGATTAAAAAGTAACTGCATGAGTTTTAAGTAAAAATTTTTAAAAAGTGACCCTATTCTAATGATCAAGTATATCTAAAATAAAGACCACTTCAAATTACCTTAATTATGACTTCACTAAAAACTTGAAAAAAAAATAAATAAACAATTTAAAAAAAAAAACCCTTGGCAATTTAAATGCTAAAACCAAAAGACCAATAAAAAAATTTTATCAACTACCAAGAAAAGCTTCTTCAATTATAATTAGACACAAATACCTCCAATCCATTTTCTCCACCAAAAAGGCACATATGAGGAAACCAGTACGATTGAAACCATGTGTACAATGAACACCTAGAAAATAAAGCAGCTTTGTTTTAAAATTAATAAACTAAAAAACAAATTAATTACTTTAGATTCATAGTTTACGTCAAAATTCTAACCTACGATCAGAACATTTCACTAACTTTATAAAATAACTGAACAGAAACAAACATGGAATATCTTCTCAGTTATTAATAATTTGCCAATTTAAGTGGTTAGAATCTAATTCAAAATACTAGCTACAAGTTTAAATGAAATGGTTTCTATTATCTAAAGATTGCTCTAAGAAATAATGCATTTTAATGAGATGTTGTTGTTGTTGTTATTATGTGCCATCAAGTAGCCTTCTACTAACAGCCCTAAACTGTCCTATCCTGTAAACTATCCTATCCTATCCTATCCAATCTCATCATCTTTGGCACACCTACCTCCATTACCCCAGTCACTGAATAAATCCATCTCATGGAGGCTCCTCCTCTCCTGCATTGTCCCTCCACCCTTCCAACCATGACATCCCTCTCCAAGGACTGGTCCCTTCTTGCAACATGTCCAAAGTGTGTCAGACAAAGTTTCAAAATCCTTGCCTCCAAGGAGCAGCCTGGCTTCACCCTCTCCCGGACAAATCTGTTCATTTTCATAGCAGTCCATGGTATATTCAATACTCTTCTCCAACACCACAGACCAATGGCATCAATGCTCCTTCTGCCATCCCTAGTCATTGTCCAGCTCTCTGATGCATAGCAAGAGAGTACAAAGACCATGGCATGTACCAGGCACACCTTAGTTTCCAGAATGACATCGCTGCACTTCAGTACTTTAGAGAGGTCTCTAACTGCATACTTTCCCACTGCAATATGTCTTTCAATTTCCTGGCTGCTGGTGCCACAAGTGTCAACTGTGGAGCCAAGCAAATGAAAACTGTGAGCAATCTCAATCTCTTCACCACCAATCATAATGCTGCCAACTGGTCCAGTGGTGAGAATTTTTCTTTTCCTGACACTGAGCTTCAATCCATACTGAATAATTTCACCTTACTTGGATCCCAAGTCCACACCCTTGGCACCAGCAGACAGGAGGTCAGGAGATGTGCTGCACTGGAAAAGTCTGCTGTCAGGGACCTCCCCAAAGTACAGAGGAGCAATGATTTCAGTTTAAAGACTAAGGTCCACTTGATTCAGGCCACGGTCTTTTCAATCACTTGCTATACATCTCAGAGCTAAGACAATGAATAAGGATGACAGAAAAATTGATAGCTTTGAGTTGTGGTGCTGGAGAAAAGTTCTGAATATCCCATGGTTGTTGTTATTGTTCTTATGTGTGGTCGAGTCACTTGCGACTCATAGTGACCCTATGTACAACACCTCTAAACCTTGCTCTATCTTGTCCCAAATAGCACTGCCTCCGACACACCCATCACAATTACCTCAGTCACTGAATCAATCCACCTCATAGAGGGTCTTCTCCTCCTACTCAGTCCCTGCACCCTCCCAAGCATGACGTCCCTCTCCAAGGACCGGGCCCTCCTTGCAACATGTTCAAAGTATTTTAGATGAAGCCTCAGAATCCTTACTTCTAAAGAGCAGTCTGGTTTAACCCTCTCCAGGATGAATGTTTGTTTTCCTAGCAGTCCATGGTACCCTCAATACTCTTTTCCAGCACCACAGCTCAAGGGCATCAATTCTCCTTCTATCCTCCCTAGTCACTGTCCAACTCTCTGACGCATAACAAGTGATTGCAAAGACCAAGGCCTGTATCACACCTTAGTCTCCAGAGACACACCACTGCCCTTCAGTACTTTGGAGAGGTCCTTAACAGCAGACTTTCCCATAGCAATACATCTTTAATTTCCTGGCTGCTGGTGCCAAGTGTGTTGACTATGGAGTCAAGCAAACTAAAGTTGTGAACAATCACATCTCTTTACCATCCATCCTGATGATGCCAATTGGTCCAGTAGTGAGAATCTTTGTCTTTTTTATATTAAGCCTCAATCCATATTGAAAGCTGCAGTCCTTGACCCTCTGCAGCAAGCACTTCAGTTCCTCCTCAGTTTCAGCAGCTAGGGTTGTGTCGTCTGCATAACGCAGATTAATAGGCCTTCCACCAATCCTGACGCCACATTTCTCCTCATAGAGCCCAGTCTCCCAGATAATCTGCTATGCATACATGTTGAAAAGGTACGTAGATAGGACAGACCCCTGGCATACACCCTTCCCAATTTTGAACCATGCAGTGTTTCCTTGCTCTGTTCTGACAACTGCCTCTTAGTCCAAGTATAAGTTTCGCATTAGCACAATCAAGTGTTCTGGGATTCCCATTCTTCTCAGAGTCAGCCACAGTTTATTATGATCCACACAGTCAAACGCCTTTGCATAATCAATGAAACACAGATACCCATTCCTCTGGTACTACCTGCTTTCAGCCAAGATCCATCTAACATTAGCTACAATATCCCTAGTACCATGGCCCCATCTATATCCAGCCTGCACTTCTGGCAGTTTTCTGCTGATGTGCTGTTCCAGTCGCTTTTGGATAATCCTCAGTAGAATCTTGCTTGCATGTAAAATCAATGATATTGTTCTATAGCTTCTATACTCTTGTTAGGTCACCCTTCTTTGGAATGGTAACAAATACAGATCTCTTCCAGTCAACTGGCCAATGTTTGTTCTTCAGATTTCTTGGCACAGCTTGGTGAGCACGTCCAGGGCAGCATCTGTTATCTGAAACATGTCACTTGGTATACCATCTACTCATGTGGCCTTATTTGTTGCTATTTCCTTCAATGGAGCATAAAAGGGGGGGAAAATATCTCGAAGAAATTGCAGCCAGAGTGCAAAGATGGTGAATTTCATTTCACATACTTTAGGCACACTGGTAGGAGAGGCCATTTCTTGAAACATCATGTTTGGAAAGGTGGAGAGTAAGTGAAAAAGAAGACCCTCAACCAGACAGATTGGCATGACGGCTGCAGCAATGGGCTAAAGTAAGGGCTGCAGCAATGGGCTAAAGTAAGGGAAGCGGAATATAAAATTTAATAATAGTAGACCAAATGCTGTTTCGGGAAATGAGGGAAGCTTGATTGCCCACCTTGTGGCACTGGGGCGTTCTCTAGGAATTAACATTGTTCTTAGTTTGCGTCAAATGAACCCCTCCCTCTTGATATTAACATAAAGAGGAACTTGGCCTTACCTGTAAAAGACTTCACCATTATCCTTTGTTTTGTACTTCCTTGTGATTTTACTTTTTTTATCTTATGATTCTAAATAAATACTAAGAGAAGCATGGCTTGAGGTCTTCAGTTGAGAACTGCTGACCCTCTGTTTTAAGCTCTCTGCTCTATCTCATTCCTGGCTATTTGTCTCTTTATTAATAATTATAAAATTATTCTATTCTTTGGGACCCATGGTCTGCAACATTCTGGCGCCCGAACTTGGGACAAGGTGGTGGGTTTTCTTTGGATAAGGTGGTGGTTTCTCTTTCTTTCTCTTTTTCGAGCAGACACCAGGAAGCGAAAGGGAATTCGCTCAGGGTAAGTGAAACTTTCAGGAAATTTAAAAACAGGGTCATGAGAGAATCTTCACTCCTTGGAAATTAAGGATAGAATTAGAAAAAATTTTCATGAGGATTCTCTCACCCCTTAAAAGGCAAATTTAAGGGAAGAAAAATATTTCATGGGGAGTATACCCCACCCTCTGAAAACGTATTAAAAATTCAGAGGTAGAATTGATAAAAAAGAATCATGGGGAACAGCCCATCTTCTGAAGCTCAGTACATTACATTAATTAAGGAATTACTTAAGAACTCAGGGCTAAAAGTAAGAGAAAAAGTCATTTTTGCAGTTGTTTCCGTATGTGCAGAAACAGTGTCATTGGTTTAAAGCGGTAAATAAAGCACAGTTAAATCTAAAAACCTGGCAAAATGTGGTGCAAGCTTTAAGAAGAGAACAGACTTCTACTAATTTTTGGCCAGTAAGGGCTTTGAAAAGAATGGTAAAAAAGTCTGTGCAGGATTGTTCTAATAATCCAAAAGGTCTGCAAAGAAAGATGGCTGAATCTTTGCATGAATCTGAATTAAGTAATATCACATTGAAAGAGGTTAAAGCTGAAGTTG